GCCAGCATATGGGAGTTGAAGTCCACGTCTTCAATGTGCCAAGGTTGAGAAACCCTGTTCTAGAGTGATGCAGAGTTGTCTGCCATCATTGCCTCCACCATATTCCCCCCAAATGCCTCATTTTGCATGTAACGTTTGAGGCCCTAATGACGCTTCCTGTTTTGTTTGGGAATTCCCAAGATGGAGACACTTGGTGAGCAGAAAAATGATGTGGTTCAAGTGGAAAAGCTGGAACTAGAGTATTACGAAACCCAGTTGGAGCTATATGAGGTACAGTTTGAAATACTGAAGAATGAAGAAATGTTACTGGTTACACAGCTGGAGACTTTGAAGAGGCAAATAAAGGGTGAGGATGGAAGACAGGATGAATTTCCTTTGTTTTGCATTTTAATCTGAACCAAGCTATTACTTGTTGGCACTCAACTAAAGCAGGAGGAGTCTTCCATTGCTGCGTTTCTCCAAGTCTGCAATCCAATAAATGTATTCATTGGGAGGTGGGGTGGGGAAAAGGCTTGCAAAAAGCACATTAGAGAAAATTGCATCAGAAAATGGGTAAAAATTTTCATGCACACCCATATGTATACATTTCACGCGGAGATGTTTTGAAATTGAAAACAGATACAGAAATAGGATGAATAAACTTGTCCTTAGGGATAAAATTATGTTAAACAGAGTGGAATAGGCAGATTTTTAGGTCCTTAATAAGAAATTCCTTCACTAAAACAGCCTTGATTATCTTTGATTGGGTTCTACTTTCAGTTTTTCCTTTTGTAGAAGCCACACCACAATATGAAGTGCGAGGAAAAAAGCTAGTTCGTATCTATAGAATAAACCATTTAAATCTGATAATTCCAAGTTTGAAGAATTTTTAAAAATTTCATAGTACAGAAACTACAGAAAAGGAGAAGGTTAATTTTGCAATCTGTTAATTATAGCCGAGCCCCACAAATAAATTCACTAATTTAGAGGATTTTAAAGACATACAATTGAATCTAGAGGCTTTTCTTTTGGGACTAATGGACAGACAGATGAAAGAAAGTCATGGAACCTGGGTTTTATATATGGCAACTGCAGCAAGATTATTATATGCTCAAAAGTGGAAAGGTTTGGCATTACCCACAATAGAGGAATGGTTGGTAAAGATGGTAGAACTTGCTGAGATGGCCAAATGGACCTGTTGGATTAGAGAAAGGACAATATTTACACTTATTGCTGACCGGAATAGTATAGACTTTTTGCATGAAATAGAAAAAAATAAACTGATGATTTGTGCGTTTGCTGATTGGAAAACAAAATAGAAAATGGAAAAAAGAGGGCTTTTCTTTTTGTAACCATAGAGTAAGAGAGATTTTTTAAGTGGCACAGCTCAGGCAGAAGATACACTGGCTGGAGAATCATACTTCTTGATTAGATAATTAGACATTATCTAATATTGTATTTGCTGCGAAGAAAATCTGAAGCTGTTGCTTTATATTTCTTTCCATCTTTTCTTTTTGCACTTCGTCTTTCTTTTGTCTTTCCCTTTCCCTTTCTTCTCTTTCTTTACTTTATATTAGTTTTTGTTAGTGTTTATCTTTTTAAAAACTTTTAATAAAATGTATGTGTGTATGTATGTGTGTAAATCAATGTATAAATCAAAGCACTGCATTATCTAATTCCCTAGGTACTGCTAATCCAATCAGAACACTGTAATCTGAAAACAAACAGAACAGAAAGATCTGTCTCCAGCAGCATGTGTGGGGAGGTTGAAATAGGCAAGATGGGGATGGAAGTCACAATGAAAGCCCTGCCCCTTTTGTAAACGTATCAACGTTGTGCCTGCCCCTTGCAGACTCCACAAACTCTACTTACAGTGCGCGCATATGGAAAATCAGTCATTACTCCTACTATTGATCCATTAGGCACTAGATACCGTATTGGTGGATCGTATGGACCTCTGGTTGTTTAACATATTTGCCACTCCAAGTCTTCAGCTGCTGTTTCTGCTAGAGTGAAAGTACTGCAACCATCAGCAAATGCCTGAATATTCCAGCAAAGCAGTAAAACTGGTAGGTTTTGGTTTTAGGGAGGAGTGTTGCATATTTTACTTAATGAAATCCTTGTCCCTTCTGTAGAGATTCAGGATGAAGTAATTTATTATGACACATGTGAAAACTCTGATGAATTAGAAGCTATGGATCAGGCCCTGGAAGAAATCTGCGCATCTTCTTCCGAAGTGGCACAGCTCAGGCAGAAGACGCAGCGGCTGGAGACAAAGCGGGGGATTATCTGCTCCAGGAGAGCTTATCTCAGGAACAAGAAGGTAACTAATCCAGAAAGTGGAGCCTTGACAAAGTTAGCAAATCTGTTGTATCCTGGGACGCTTCTGCAGTCTTCTTGAAAAAACAGAATTTAAGATGATCCCGTGCTGTGGCTTTTCCCCCATGGGAAGATGGCATCTCCTAGACCAAATGCCACATGTTGGGAATTTGTGCCCCTTGAAATGTTGCTGAACTACAACGCCTGGCATACTCATCCAGCATTCTCATTGAGGAAAGATCTTGGGAATCAAAGTTCAGTAAGATTTGCAGGATCACAGGCTGCCTTGGAAACAGAGGATAGCTGAATTAGGATCCCTGCTGTTCATAACTCCAGGATTTCAGACCCTGCAGCTCCTGTTTTTTTTTTTTTTTTTAAGTCTGTAAATTAAACACAAGGACAGAGATTCATATGTTAAAAAACGGTAAGAAAGTATGGACCTGGATATCGAGGCAGAAATTTTGTTTCCTTTAGCATGGAATTTGTAGAGCTGTAATATATGTGTTCTGCAAAAGGAGGCTTGTTGGAATTCTCTCAGCCTGGAAGTGGGGATGGCTGTTTGTACAATATTATGGGCCAGAACAGACTTATTTCTTCTGATTAAGCAAAGGGGGAGCAAGGTCTCCCTTGCATCAGGAGAGAGAATCAGAGACATCAAGGAGGCCTTGTGTTAACCTACTCACTGATAAACGGGCTAAAGTATACATAAACAGTTAGCAAGAGTCTGTAACCTAACCCCTTTTCCCATGCAATAGATCTGACTAATGAGAATCAGTGAGAATCTAATTTTCTTGGTTGGGAGTCACCATTAGGGGTTCGATAAAAGGTTTATTTGAACATGAAGATGGCTCCCATAGCTCCTTATTATCCTCAGTTGGGAGAAATTCTCCAGAGTGGAGACAAGGGTCTTTCCCAGCCCTACCTGGAGATGGCAGGTCTTAGGCCTGGAAAAACTTTGTTTGCAAATAATGCTAAGTTATGTCCCTTCCCCACAATCCTTTGCATGGGGGCTTGAGTTGCTTTTTAGAAGGTTCTGGGCAAGTAGAAAGTTGAACCCAACATTCTGATTCAATGGAATTAAGTTTTGCCTGAATCTTCAGATTTGGGCTAGTGGGATTTTGCACTGCTTTCTTTCCTCTTAGGACCAATGTGAAGAGAGCCGGCGTCTTAGGCTCCAGCAGGCGCAAGAGACCACACGCTACTTCGAACAGCATCACAGCATCCAGATTGTACGTATTAAGACATGGAAGGTGGGAAGGGCATTCTGTTGCAGCTAGAGTTCTAGCAGGGAAATGGATGGGTAAATTCTGGGCAAAAAAGCGGTCAATATGCAGAGTTGTTCTTCACTCCCAGAATCTTAGTTTATTTTAAAGGAGGTTCTAGACATCATAATAGAGGATGGCTGCTGCTATTTCAAAACCAGAAAGGTATCCATTGGTTGGGAGCTGTGACACCCTGCAAATTGAGGGGTACACATTGGCTCCATTTGTATATGTTGTTCTAAGCTGTAGACTTTCAGTTTTCTGGAATTTGGAGTTCATAACACAATCTTATTTTGTATCTATTTGTAAGTAAGCTTCATTGGGTTCACTTTGGTTTACTCCAAGCAAATATACATTGGGATTGCTTATGAGTGTGTGAATCTCATGGGAGATTCTAACAACAACAACAACCATAATAATATTTATTTATATGGCCCCAGACCAATAAAAGAGAATTTAAATAAGGCATCCAACTGTTCAGGAAGGAGATGTTTATGTAGGCTCATAATTAATTCTATGTAAATTCTAGGGCTGGGCAGCACTTGTTTCCAAAAAAATGCTTCAGAGCATGCAAGAGCACAAATATAGCATCTTTCTGCAACTCCTTAAAGCAGCCGCACCTTTTCCTGGGATTCCACATCTGACTTCCACAGCTGCTTTAAGGTGTGGCACTTGAGCTGAGTTTGCATTCCCACACGCTCCAAAGCAGTTTTTAGAGATCAAATCAGAAGTGCTGCACAATGGTTCTCCTCTCCTTTCTCCTCTCCTCTCCTCTCCTCTCCTCTCCTCTCCCCTCCCCTTTTTCCCCCATTGCATAATTTTAGGCCATCTGTTATCAGGCTCCAGACTATTTAGCAATGTAACTTAGAGGCAACTTAGTTGCACTGGGAACAGTCCTCTATGTGTGCATTAAGGGTTGTCATTCACACTGCAGAAAAGAGAGAAGAGAAAAGAAGATGAAAAAAAGAAAAAAGCCTGGATAAAGGAGGAGCGGCAGAAAACTCTGGAGAGGCTAAAAACATTCAAGGAGGCAAGTATCACAATTTATCTTGTTCTTCAGTACCCTAGCAGTATCTCTTGCTTTTGGAGAAAGAAACAAGGTCTGGTTATTAGTGGTCTGCAGTGGTTAGCAGCAAGAACAACATCAACCATGAGAAATAACTCTGGATTTAGGAACCACAAGGATGGTATCAGTATGTTTTGCACAGAATTTAGTCAGTCACCTTGACCCAACTATGCTTCTGTAGCATAGGAAGTAGAGCACTAGAATGGAAGTGGCATGCACAGGAAAACGATGAAGCTCCTCTATCTGCACAAACACTGCTGCCTTAACAGTGGTGGGGGAAAGTGAGGTCTTTACAGTCAAGTACGTCAAATCCTAAACTAACCAGACAGGGCTGGGTGGGAAGGACACGCTAAGCCAGAGAGAAACCTCCCCAAGGCTAACCTTCATCCAGCTTCGCACGTTGAGCAGATGAAACTGTTAGGCCTCACACTGAGCTGGCTAAGCATGTCATGGGAAGACCGTCATGGCTCTTAGAAACTCGTGGGGTATGTAAAACACGTCTAAGGGTCTGATGGCCACAGTGGACTAATGCAGTTAGCTCATCTGCTGTTTTCAAATCTGATGCCTTCTTACCTTGCAGAAATGTCCAGCTCAGTTTGTGCTGAAGACTTCCCGGTCCCAGCCTGTCAACTCCAAGCAGGCTGGGCCACGACCAGCTCCAGCAGTTTCCCCCCAAGCTAGGTCAATGAGCAAGAGGCCGACTGCCAAGCAGTCCAGGAACATCCGTCCAGCACAAGTCAGAACTTCCAAAGCATCATGTCAGAAGCCTTCCAGAGATGTTCCCATCCAGATTTTTGCACCACCACATGGCCCAGAGCCTCCCAAGGAAGGTGCGGAGGCACCACTACCTGTCCCTCCACCTCCACCTCCACCCCCCCTTCCACCCCCACCACTGCCATCAAGTGTCCAGACTGTTGGCTTAAGCAGCACAGGAGCCGAAGATAAACCACTGCCTCTTGTGTGTGAAGGCTCTCCTAAAGGAAGTACCTCCCTGGAGAAAGCAGACACTGCATCCAGATGCCCAACCAAGAATTACACAGGTGAAAAGATGGGGCATTTTTTTCTTCCTGGGCACAGTATTGTCATTTATACCACATATATGTAGTAACAGGGGATATTGTGTTCCACAGAATAGTATCAGAAAAACTTGCCCATGAGGTCTCCATTGAAAGACAATGAAATGTTAGAAATGCTGCAGATCCAACCTCTTTTATTGCATAGCAAATTGAATTCAAAGGTTCAGTTGAAGTCTTCTCCTACCTATGATGTTCACCTAAATGGTGAGCCTTGACTGGCCAAGGTTTTTCCTATTTGGAGACTGAACTTCTTTGCATATAAGGTATGGTCTCTATTATGGAGCTTGAGCCCTTGTGCAGAGTTCATCCCTTTTTCTGTCATTCTTGCAACCCCACACCCTGATTGAAGGGAATACAGAGAACATTTTGATCAAGGCCTCTGGAAACTGCAGTGCATGCTGAAGAGCTGGGAAGACATTTCCTTGGGTCACTAAGAAGTTTTTGCATTATTTTTTTCTGCAAGAAATAACATCCCTATGATATTACAGGAAAGGGGGCCTTTTTTGTTATAGCCCCCACCTTGCTGCTACTCTTCCCCGAGAAATATGTCCAGGACCTCCTTACTGCAGTTCTCTAAACAGGTTAAACCATTTTATTTCAGTGTGTTTTTTGGTCCTAGCTGACTGATTGTGGGTACCTATTTGGGGGTTTATTTGGGGCTTTATCTTTGCTTTTTCTGGTTATTGTTTTTGATACTGTTCTGACTCAGCTATTTATGTATTATTATGGGGGGAGTTGTTTGTTTGATGTTGCATGCTGCCCAGAGTCCTTTGGGATTGGGGTGGGATATCATTCATTCATTCATTCATTCATTCATTCATTCATTCATTCATTCATTCATTCATTCATCTGTCCGTCCGTCCATCCATCCATCCATCCATCCATCCATCCATCCATCCATCCATCCATCCATCCATCACATTTATATAACCACCCATCTCACAAACATGACTTTGGGCGGTGTACAATGAAAAAAGAGCATCAACAGAAACAAGCATTAAAATTATTCCATAATAATTGGCTGTAAAATAAAACAAAACAAACCCCTACATCTGGAAAATTATAGACCCATAGGCAGCTCTGTTTTTGGCAAAACCAGGCCTGTAAGTCAACTTCAGGCAGCCTTCTCCATGGAATCCTCTTGTCCAAGAATGACATTGTTTTAACATGTTCTACCACAGGGACCATGGATGAGGTCTTGGCTTCCCTCAAGCGTGGCGAAATCCTCCTTCGCAAAGTGGACCTGACCCACCAGGCACCTTCCACTGGCAACTCTCTCAATGACAGCATTCTTGCTGCCATCAGGCAGGGCGTTAAACTGCGGAAGGTCAACCAAGAGCCCAAGGCGGACATTGTGAGGGGTTCTGGCAGTGAGCTGGAGCAAAGCATCAAGGCAGCCATCCAGAGAATTAAGAATGTGTCAGCTGACTCAGATGATGATGAAAATAGTGACTTCAACAGCGGGGAATGGAACAGTTAACAGAGCGGTTGGCTGGTTGCATTTAGGAGCCCCTCAGAAGTCCATGAGGGATTCTTTGGTGAGAAGACAGCTAACCGCAAAGGAGTCCCAAACAGGAAGAGCGGTCTGGGGCCCAACAGGTTGGCGCTAATGTCTTCCATGAATCAGGCATCCCAGAATTCTCAGCAGCACCGTGGAGTTCAGGGGCAGCTGAGGAAGTGTGGGAGATATTTCTTGATCAATGTCAGAAGTTTCCAAGCTGTCGAGTGAATTTGGAACAAGTCCTTTACTGACACTGAGCTTTATGCTTTGAAGTTTGCACGTTTTTTTTCTTTTTTCTTTGCAAAGGAATCAGCGCCCCTTAGGGAATCAAGGGCAGTGACAATGTTTCAGAACTTTAAAAAGCCCCCTTGATGCCATCCCAAACTTTCATTACTGTATGGAAACATTATTCATTTGATTAAACCTGTACCAAAACTATTGTTAAAACTGTCCTAGGAGAATGAATTACTCTTCCGAAATTACTCTTCAGGTGCATAGGAACAGAGGGAAATCATCTCCATGGGACACATTTGTAACAACTTTTTGGGTACAGGTAGTCCATTCCCAAGGTCTGTCCTTAAGTTGAATTTGTATGTAAGCCGGAACAGTATTATTGTA